CCCCCCACAGAGAAACTCAGACACAAGCTATTGCATATAATTTTAGGGGAAATAGGTTTTTTTCACCCTGTTTCTTTTGCCTTTTTAAAGCATTTTGTTAAATGAATTCTGTTTGGTGGCATAGTCGTTAAAAGTGACCGGTAATGGCTCAACACTAGATACATGTAATGAATTAAGGACAACAATTAAAATAATACTTGCCCTCTGTTTCAGTAGGGTTGGCACTACTAAGCGTCTTCTAGAAGTGGCGTTTGTGAATTAAACTTGATTACCTTGAAAGCTTTGTTTAAAAAGTTGCTCGATGTCCTGGTTAGGTAAAAATTGGATTGGAGTTGCATCTGGTTTGTGATGCTGGGGTTTTAAATTGACTAAACATGCCACAGATAGTAAGAGTATGTGTTCACTAGGTGTGTGAATTTTGTATAGAATCCTTTTTAAAGTAGCTGCCTTTGTCAGTCATCCAATATTTTATAGCCTGCATTCCCTTTGTAACATACTATATAGGATTTATAATAGAGTAAGGATGGATATGGTACGTGCCACTGTCAACTCTTGGCTTCTGCCTACTTCTTAATTTTGGGAAAGCACAAAAGTTGAAACAAACACAGGACCACCCCACAGTCGTACACACGCTCCTCCAGCCCGCGGGCACCAGCAGGGGCGGCGCTCCCCTGCCGCAGCCTTTCATGTGGCTGTCGAGACGGGGTGGCCTAATGCTGCCGCTGTCCATCCTTTAAGATTTGTCTGTGCAGGCTGCCTTTTCAGGAACAGTCTGTTCGCATTACACCCTTACTGCCTGGTTTACAGGGATCTGTCTGCCTCCGTTCCCTGCAAATTGTGGTCCCATTGAGACTGGAAACTAAACTCTTCATTACATGCTCAGTTCCTAATGAGTTTTTTCCAAGATGTTTAAATAACGTTAGTACGTTTTCCATCTTGCATCTTATTAGAGAATTTGTTTTTTAAAATACCTGGAGCATTTTTTATCTATAACCAGCTGTTACAGCGGTTAAAGCAGTTCCCTCCCCCTCCCTTCTTTCCTCTCCGTGCTCTGCTGTCTGTCTCTCTTCCTGCCTCTATCCCTCTCCCCTGCTTTTCTTCTTTAATATGTTAATTTCATGAACAATACATGAATGTCCATTTTTAAAGTTGTATAAAGAACCCAAGTGACATATTAGTGGGTGGCACTGAGTGGACTCTGCCTTGTGTTAGTCTCTAGCTTTACACGATATGATTTTAAGTACCCGAAACATGGATATATATACCTTTCAAATTGAAACACTGCTTTTTAGGTTTTTTTGTTCAGCTTATGTTTTATATGTCTGCCAGTGATTTTGTTTAGGACATTTTTTTATACTCATTTGACTGACTAATTAAAGACTTTCTTATATGAGATAACAAGAGAGATTATATTTAATAGTGCTCAGATTTAGAACACATAAGGCCTGAACTTATTTAGGCTGTGTTACGTAACTTGAAAACCATAATGAGGCTCTTTTACCTGTGATTTTGTTCGCCTGTGATTTTCTCCACCTGTGGTATCACACATTGTGCTGAAAACACACGACAGGCTCCGCATGGCACGAATTTCCTGGAGGAGGAATTTTAGCAATTGAGGCAGAGGGGAGAAATTTGGAATATTGAAACAAACATGGCTCTATTTAAGAGTACAGTCTAGTTTATTTTTTTATTTTTTAACCCAAGGCATAAGACCTGAGTGTCTTTAGGAAGTACCCTTTCAGCGAAGCCCTTAAGTTCCCCAGAATTCCAAGTTTTCTTTCCTCAAAGTGATCCCCAGTTTCTTCTGCTAAAAGGTGGATTGTTAAAAAAATTCTTTTATCTTTACACGTAAATTACTCGGGATACATTGATAGAAGGGTTTCAGAAGCATGAAGTTGCCCTTTTTCAGTAATTCATTGGTAGGGAAAGGGAAAATGTAGCTTCCTCATGCTAATTGGCCTTGTAGTGTGGGAAGTACATTAGAATAGAGGGAGCAGTTTAAGATCCAGTTCTCATTTTCCTGGCCTGAGGTTATGTACTTTATTAATTCATGCATTAACTACGTATTTTCTTAACAGGCGAGTTGGGGAAGAACTGAAAGAGAAAGGACGATGACCAATGGGGCGGGTTCAGTGTAACATTTTGTACTTTTTGGTATTTTTCAAAGCTTAAAACAGACTACAATATGGCACCTGTTTGATCTGTTGAAGTTTATGTTTATGGTTACTTTTTAATGAGATTCAAACTTATTTCCATGCCTGTAGGTGATTTCAGCTCACATGGTGAGCTTGAAGAAATGAAACCTCCTGGAAGAAGGAACCCTCTCCCGCAGCACTCAGATTTGCAGATGAATCAAGAGTTTAATAAATACAGTGTGTCTGAATTCTGCAGCTCTTACATAAAAAGCTCCTTGTCGCTTATTAATGCCACTTTTGATCAAGATTCAAATATAAATACTGCAAGAATCCATGCAAGAAAAATTATTCCAAAAGCAGAAATTAAGTTGGAAGGTGACCTAGAGACTGGTACCAAGAATGAAAACAGTCGTGTTTCTTGTGCTTCTGTGACTGAAACACCCATCGTGTCAGATGGCCCACAGCCTGACTTTGTCATGCAGTCCAAAGAATTTGCTGCTGCCGGTCAAAATGTGGAAAACCCTTTTCAAAGCTTTAAAGTTTCAGGGGATACAAAGCATGAACAACAGGATGACTTAGTAGCTACTGATGGAAAACTGCAGACCAAGCCTTTCCTGTCCGGCTCAGAAAAAGAACGTGGTGATTCAGATGATGTCTTCATTGACAACAGAAGAGGGGGAAAAAGTCAAAGTGGGGATTTGCGAAGAAACTCGGCAGCAAGTAGCAGTGGCGTGAGTTGTGAAAGGAAACATAGAAGACGCTCTGTGTGTGATCCTGATGGTCACAGCTTACATTTGGAAAAAGATGGAATTCACAGACCTTCCTGCAGCATGGGCAGCTCTGTCGAAATGAGTTTGGAAACTTCTGAACTGTGTAAAGATTTATCTGACTCCATAGAGCAAACCTTTTTGAGAACAAATCGGGAAACAAAAGTCAGACGAAGCACAAGGCTACAGAAAGATCTGGAAAATGAGGGACTTATATGGATTTCACTTCCATTTTCTTCCACTTCCTGCCCTTCCCAGAGAACCAAAAGGAGAACGGTGCATACATTTGACAGCAGAGGACTTGAAAGTGTGTCTCCCAGAAAAAACACCGTGTCCTTCAGACGAAAACCTCCACTCTGCTCCACATCAGATCAGGAAAACAGTGAGGGCTTTGCAGCCAGTTCTTCCAGTTTACCTGGGAATAGGAGGAAGAGCTTTTGTACATCTGCACTTGCGAACACTGGAAATACTCCGTCAGAGTGCTAAAAAGGAAGAACCTTCCTCAGCCAGAAGGGAGAAAGCTCTCCAAAGGACATCGGGAGCACTGGCCTTGTCGGAGAACTGCCGCAGGAACTGACATCTCCTGCAGAACATTTGGCAGAGAAGGTAACCGTCCATGCTTAAAAGATTCTTTCATCCTACTTCCTGTTATTTGGTCAACTTCAGTGTTTTAAAAGTTTCAAATAAAATCATTTGAGTAGAAATAAGTGAATTTTTTTATCATTCAAAAAGAAAACATTCTATTAAATATGTACTCCTGCCCCCCCAACATAGTAAATGCTGTATTGGTATTTTGTAAAAAAGGATTGTTTTTATAGCCAATAATATGTCTCTTAAGCTTTACATTAGTACATGTTTTCCACCTCATTACCTCTAGATGAGAAGAGGTGTTTTTTTAAAAAAAAAAACAAACAAAAAAAAAAACCAACAAACAAAATTGACATAATTAATGTAACTGAGAATTGGAGGTTAATACAAGGTGGGAAGCTGTTAGTGTTTTTATTTAAAAATACTGCAAAAGAATTAAAAGTTTTAACAGGACTTGGTTTCTCTTTCGGTGGAAGTTAAGCTGAAATGGCTCTCTCTATCTGTCTCATGACATTTTTAATACTTAGATTAAAATAAAATTTTAAACATCAAATTTTGGAAAAGTCTGTCAATGACCAGAATACAAGGTGGGGTAAAAGTAGGTTTACAGTTGTTAATATAGAAAATAATACAGTAGTTAATAAATAATAATACAAGAATAAGCTGTTTTATGTACTCAACTGTAAACCTACTTTTGCCCCACCCTGAATGATAAGTCTATCATCATAAAATGAAAATATAATTTATAAATAACTAATGTGATAGCATTTTGTTCTTCAAACAGTATTCTTATGTGCTTGGTGGGGTGAGAGGTGGATGATTGTTTTTTGGTGAAAATATAGCAGTTTTGTTGACTCATTTCCCAGATTATTCAAATTAGTCATTGGTAATTTGGGATTTATTTCATGGTTCTTAAAAAAAGGAAATTTTTTTAATCCAAAAACCTCATTTAAAGCGGCCCTATGAAATGAGCTTACTAACATGAAGTGTCGCTGATTTCTTTTTTAACAAGGCATTTTCCAGCCCTTCTAACTTTGTTTCACAATGTCAAGTACTGTCACTCGTTTCCGATTTTCTAGTTATCCCTCAGCCATATAGCGATAGATCCTGCGTCCTATCGCCACTTTGGTTATAGCAGTTTGAAAATCTAAATTTATATATCTGGAATTTGTGANGGTAGGTCGCTGATTTCTTTTTTAACAAGGCATTTTCCAGCCCTTCTAACTTTGTTTCACAATGTCAAGTACTGTCACTCGTTTCCGATTTTCTAGTTATCCCTCAGCCATATAGCGATAGATCCTGCGTCCTATCGCCACTTTGGTTATAGCAGTTTGAAAATCTAAATTTATATATCTGGAATTTGTGAATGTGCAGAAATCATTGTATCATTAAACAGTTGTCTTTGGAACCCTTTAACTCATTAAACTCCCCCTCTGCATGATGGCAGAAACCTGTTAACAAATAGAGTCTCTATAAATAACACAACAGGGGAGAAAGCTCCTGCTGAGCGCCCATTTCCCCTCCTCGGATAGACACTATTTGTTACCTTCTTGGCACCAATAGGTCTGGAACTCCTGCTGGTCAAGACTAATGTATTTTACATTAACACTCAAAGCGATCCCCAATTTCTTCTGCTAAAGGGTAGATTGTTTAAAAAATTCTTTTTATCTTCACACGTAAATTATTTATGGACTTTCCCCCCCTTTTACAGTTTAGCGTGTTTGGCAAATGGATACCACTGAAAACAAACCACAGAAAAAGAAAAAACTAAACTTCTTATGAAGCTTTTTGGTTTTGGTAATTTAGAAAGGCAAAAAGCCTTTCAGAAATGTAAGATGTTAGAGGGTTTTGTGTTTTGTTAAATTTTTGTATTTCTCCTTTAACACGAAGGTTAAAAAGATGATTGTTATTTTCTCCCCTTTTAATTGTATGGTGATCTATGATCTCAATTGTCTGTATTTTTAAAATTTCACGTGCTTTGTTTCATTCCTCAAGAAATGCTAATGAGAATGAGGGAAACGTTTTGGTGTGTGATTTTTTATTTTTTTTTTAACTTGGTTTTACAAATGTAAATTTGTTCTCATTCTCTGGCATCTGCGGTTAAAAATACAAAGACACTTTACCAGTTGTGTTGGTTTCAAAATGTTTCAGTGTGAATATTTTGTTGATGTTTCTAAAGAACCAACAGGCATGTTTCCTAAGAAGATCAGCTCTGAGAAATGAAAGGAACAGGCGCAGTGTTATCCTTTACGTCTCATTTGCATCATAACATTTGTAAAAAGTTAATGACGTGCTTGCTTGCTTTTAATGGTTTCTTTTCACTTGTGGTTCAATCAAAAACTTGGCTCCAAAGTAGTTTTTTCTGACCTTATCTTTTTTACTGCTGTAGCGTTAGGCTGGCGGTTGGCCTCAGAACCTCTTCTCATCTTTTCCCTCTTCCGTAGATTCTTGCTCGTTCCAGAAGGTGGCAGCATGACATCTGAAGTTTCCCCGGTGCCCCTTACCCGAAGCCTGGGCGGCTCTTGCTGCTGCGGGTACCTCCCTTTAACTTTTATTTTTACTCATTTTTATTACAAAAGTTACATGCAGCTATCGAGAAAAGTAGAAAACTGTACAGAATAAAAGCTGTCTTGTGAACCCCATGCAAGCATACTACGGCCTCACCTTCCTCTCCTCTCGCCAGCTTTCTTCAATATAAACGCCGTCACCAACCCTCGCCCAGCCTCGGGACCGTCGCCTGCCTGTGTAAACGCGAATGTGGGTTTGTTGTTTTCTGATGGGATCACTGTACGTGCCATTCTGCAACTTGAATTTTTATTCAACAAGATACCATGGGTATCCTCAGTCTTAACATGGGGAGCCCTAGTGCTCTTCAGTATTTTAAACCCTTTGCGTAGAATTACATGGCTTTGATATTTATAATTTAGTCATTTCCTTCCTAATGCTTGCTACTTGTCTTGTTTTGTGATTGAAAATTATTAAAACTGGGCTTGTGTGAAAATGTAAGATAAATTCCCTGACGTTAAAATGGTTATTAAGTTCTCTTTTATAAATCACACCTGGCAAAGTCCCTTCATAAAGATTTTGGCGTCTTTGCCTTCTTTCTGTCTCTCATATTGTCCTGCTGCTTGGCTTCCATTTTCTCTCCTGCTCCCACAGGCACTTAAGTCATAGAATTAAGGGTAAGGTTTAGATTTGGCCTAACAAGAAAAAATGATTAATAATACCTGATTCATGCTTTATATTAAAAGAGCTTTTTCTTTTTTTACGTCAGGTTTCTTGAGGTATAATTAACCTACAATAAAGTTCACCCCTTTTAGTGTACAGTTTGTTGGCAAATTCATAAAGTTTTGTAACCACTACCACAGTCAAATAATAGAACATATTTATCATCCCAAAAGAAGGTTTCTCCTACCTCTTTGCAGTCAGCCCCCTCTCCCTGAACCCAGGCCCGTCAGAGCCACTCACCTGATAACTGTCCTTATAGTTTACCCTTTTCCTGAATATCATATAAATGGGATCATATAGTATAGATCCTTTTTAAACCTAGCGTAATGCTTTTGAGATTCATCAACGTCACATGTCATAAGTAGTTGATTTCTGTTTATTGCTAAGTAGTATTCCTTTTTATGGATGTACCAATTTATTTATTCACCAATTGATGGATATTTGGATTGTTTCTAGAGGATTTTTTGGCTGTTACAAATAAAGCTCCTATAAACAGCCACATAAGGATATTTTTTATAGACGCATGTTTTCATTTATCTTGGGGTAAATGCTTAGGAGTGGGATTCCTGGGATGTACTGTTGGGATATGTTTAAACTGTTTGAGAACTGCCAGGCTTTCCCAAGGGGCTGTACCATTTTGCATTATTGCCTGCAGCAAAGTTGTTCCAGCCGCCTCACGTTTTCACTAGCACCTGGCACTGTCAGTCTTTTTCATGACAGGCATTCTGGTTGGTGTGCGGAGCGGCAGCATCTCCCTGCGGTGTTGATCTGTATTTCCCTAATGAGCATCTTTTCCTGTGTGTGTTTGCCATCCTTATATCCTCTTTATTTTTTATTTTATTTTAAATATGTCTTTATTGATTTCAGAGAGAGGAAGGGAAAGGGGGAGAGAGAAACATCAATGATTAGAGTCATTGATCGGCTGCCTCCTGCGCGCCCCCCACCGAGGATCGAGCCCGCAACCCAGGCACGTGCCCTGACCGGGAATTGAACCGAGATCGCCTGGATCCTAGGTCGACGCTCAACCGCTGAGCTGCGCCTGCCAGGCTGTATCCTGTTTACTGAAGGGTCAATTCCACTCTCTTGCTCCTGGTTTCTTTTTATTGTCTCATTATCAAGTTGAAAGAGTTCTGTGTATATTTGGATGCAAGACCTTTATATGTCTGCAAATATTTTTTCCCAGTCAGTGGCTAGTCTTTTTATTTTCATAGCAGTGTTTTTTGAAGAGCGGATATAAATTTTGATCGAATTTATCTTTTATTCTTTAATGATTCGTGCTTTTGTATCCTATCCAAGAAATCTTTGCATAACTCAGGGCACTAAGTTTTCCCTATGTTTTCTTCTAAAAGTTTTATAGTTTTAGGTGTCAGGTGTTAGATCTACTTTGAGTTAATTTTTGTATATTGTGTAAGGTGAAGGGTGTGTGGGGTTTTTTTAATGGAAATAATTGGTTGAAAAGATGATTAATTTCCTATTGAATTACAATGGCACCTTTGTTGAAATCAGCTGATCCTTTATGTGTAGGTCTATTTCTGGACTTTATGCTGTTCCATTGATCTGTGTGTCTGTAGGCCAACATCACACCATCTTGATTACTATAAGGAAGCTTTTTAAAAAAATTTACTGTGAATCTGGATCATAGTAAATGTTTAAAGTTCTTTTTGTGAGGGAAGAGGCCAGTAGAAGCAAAAGATTGACTAATTCTATCTGGAGCCTACAGTTACACTTTGATCTGCATTACCATGTAGGGGAAAAAGTCAGTAAATACTGTGCTATCAGAAATATGGTAAGGAAACCAGCTGCCTTGGGGTACCTATAATTCAGCCTAATCTTCTGGTGAACTGATTTGTTCATCATTTAAAATTGTCATCCTGAGTCACTGTGAGATTAGTCACGGAGAAAGAATTCTCTTTTTGAACACTGTTCAATATTATCAGTAAGAAAATGAAATGAGCTGAATTAAAATAAGGTTCAAAATTAAGTTTGCTAAAGAAATAAATTATCTAATAAGTCTGATTCATTTCTTCTCATAAGTTAAGGTTTTATTATAGTTTAGTTTGGTATAAAAATTGTCACATAAAAAAATATCAGAAAGTAGCCTTAGCATTTGAGAATTATTTCTTAACATGGGAAAATTCCCCTGCACCGGGTCATCCTAGGCAGACAGCTTGTGGATTTGTTCATATGTGTGCCTTCAGGAGACACAGTCTCTCTAAGGGGGCAGAATTATAATATGGGGTATGATTATAAAGGAATGCCCTGGACCTCTCAGCCTTGGAGGTGGCACCAACTTCAGGTCAGGTAAGTTTGTTTTGTATGTTTTCTGGAAGAAGTGATGAAGTGATGCTTGAACAAAGTCCACTGATAGGAGTTTTAGGAGAGTGGGGATCCAAAGGCACCTTCTATTCCAAACATGCTTTCATGATTACTTACTGAGACTGACAATGTAAATTGGCTTCATCTCATACACGTATCTGTTCTTAAGTATTTTTTCTTAACTTCCCATTATATTCAATCCTATTAATACATCTGGATGAAGCATGGATTTGAAACTAGAGATTGTAGATTTCTTTAAAACTGTTGGGGATTTCTTTAACCCTGTTAGGCTTAACAGGGTTAAACAAATCCCCCCTCTTGCATGCTGATGCCTTTCTGTGTTGTACTACCAGGTTTTGTGTGTCAGAAGGGTCGAATCTGGGCTTGGACTCCTAGATCACGTGAGCAGTACTGGGATGAAATTAAGTTACAGTAAAAAAAAAAAAAAGTGGGGGTTTTGTCTTAAAGTTATTTGAAGATTATTTCATAGCCTTGACTTGGCTCTAGAATGGACTAATTATTGATGTAGTGTGGCCTGGAAATTTTATTGTGTCTAATACTGTACCGGTATGTTCATTCTTATATACCCGTTGATGCTTTTCTGCTTTTTGTGAAATCGAGATACAGACTATGAGTAACATAATAGGTTTAATGAGAAGATGAATAACTACTGCCATTCTCCTGGTACATGCTTCTGTCCCACACCTTCAACCAAGATTACACTTAGCCCAATGTGCCCTTAATTTTAAGATTTATTAGAAAGGTTTTAGAGAATTTTAGGATATTGGGAAGCAAGAATTTTCTGGAACTGCTTCTATATCACTTATATGAAAAGGGAAAGTAAATGACCAGGCACATTAAAGAAAAATACAAGTTTGCATTTTCTAAGGGGTAGGTCGGGATTTCCAAAAATTTCCAAAGACCAGTGGAGACTAGCTTTTCTTAAGCCTTCCTTCTTCTCGTTTGTCCATGGCGCACACATTGTCTAATTCAGTGGTTTAATGTACGTTCTCTATGATAAAAGTGGCCAGCTCCAGGGATGCCAACCGCAGGCATTTTGGATTTAGATGTAATGCAAGAAACTCAAATTACGTAATTTTCTGAAATTTAAGATTCCTAAAAGTGTATTTGTGTGTGAATTTTAAAGTGTGGACATGGAAAGGTAACTGTTAACATTTATTTAGTGCATCTAATGTTCTCACGGCTTTATTCACCCACTGAAAATGTGCTTTTTTTTTTTTTAAAAAAAAACGTGATTTGTTAGTGGCATTTCTATGTTTGCCATTAAAATCAACCTGCATGTCCAGCGTTCTGATATCCCGGGTGCTCATGGCGAACACGAAGAAAACGGCACTGTTTCCTCTGCGGAGGCCCATCAAACAGCTGCTACGTAGCATCAGGTGCTCGCAGAAATCGATTCTTCCGGATGTATGGCCCAACCAGTGAAAAAATCTTTTTTCCCAGCGTAAAATCGGCGTCAAACTGTTTCATCTTCATAGAGAAAGTGAGCAGAAGGCCCTTGCAGCTGGAGAAAGGTTGGCTCCGACGCCGGCGCTTGGAGGTGCGCGCGTGGCTTTGCGCGTAGCCTGTGACTCGGGC